CCTCCTCCCCTAAACAGCCTGTGTTCAAGGGCAACTTGTGGGGTCTTCAGAGTCAAGCTGCGGTTTAAATACTCTCTTGGCCATTGACTAACTGTACAATTAATTAGGCTAAATAAATGTAACTGAAGATTAAAACAAATGTACCTTCCTTGCATATGTGTTGTAGAGATCTAATAAGTCATATATATAAGGTAATTAAGGTAATTCCTAGCTCAAGGAAACAACAGGTCACGACTGCTAATGCTACTACCCTTCCTACAGTTCCCTCCCTCTCTGTGAGTTACACCCCATTTTCTTCCTGTGGGGAAAGGCTTGTCCTTCTGCCTGACTCCCAGACTGCAGGTGTAGGGGAGGTCACCGAGTGTTCAGGGAGTTTAGCCCAGTGTCTCCGGGAGCAGAGGGCCTCATCACGGACACACGAGTCGTAATTCAGAACTGGGAGCTACAGACAACTGTGCAGGAGCTGAGACGATGCAGGGATAGAGAAGGAGATGAAGAGCAAGGCAAGGAGGAGGCGACAGCCACAGTCTTTCTCTATGGAGGAGGAGGCAATAGCCACAGTCTTTCTCTATGGACCCAGCTGAGGGGCTGGAGGTCTCCCTTTTTGCACGCTGACTCTGGAGTGCATGGTGCAAGGTTGGTCCAGACCCCAGACTCACTATCTTGTGTTTTCTCTGCTCAGACGTGGCATCTTCTGAGAGTAAGTGCTTCTGCCTCTGACCCATGCCAGCATGGTTTTCCCTCCACATGAACCCTCCTTCCTCTGGATCTGATCTCCTGGCCAGGTTGGGGCTGTGCTATTTCCACTTGGTGCCAGCAGCTATGAAATTTGAATAGAATTGTGACAGCTTCACAGTAGGTTTACCACAAGCAAAATTAATGAACTTGTCCTCTTGAAGGTGGAGGTGATGACATGTAGTTTCTTTTTTTTTTTTCTTTTAAGTTTTATTTGCCGGGTATCTAGGAAAGTGCTGACCTTATCCACACCAGCAGGAATGGTGTGCACCCTGAAATGTGTTATTTGGAAAGAGTCCTATGGGGGATTCAGAAGTGCTGAGGAATCTTGAGAGATCCCCATTGTGCCTCAGAGACATGTTAAAATTGCTTTTTATTGAATCCTGACGTTTAGATCACTCACTGTGAATTTAAATCTTTCTTCAGGATGTAAAGGGGTCGTCACCCCAGTGCCTGGTCCAAGACTCACCCAGCCACATAAACCTCCCAGTACTTGGAGCTGGGCTTAAATATGGGGAAGTTCTCCTGAGGCTTTGTGGGTTTGTCGATGCAATGCTATGCTCCACTCTGTATAAAGCAGCACAAATCGATTCCAATTCCATCTTGGCCTGACTGTAAATAAGAATAAGGAAAAGAGCTAATCGTTATGCTAATATGGGCTCTGTTACCTGATACATTATGTACATGATACATAATATAAGCAGCTTGCATGAATTATGTCATTCCCATCCCCATGCTGTAGACACTCTTATTTTAATCCCATTTTACAGATGAAAAATCTAAAAGTTCAAGACACTTGCTGGAGACACAAACTTAGAATGATACCATCACGGTTTGGATGCAGGATGACCCCAGAGTATGAGCTGAATCACACTATCTCCTTCCTGCTAGATTTGTAAATATTAAATACTCAAAAAAGACTGACAGTACCCAGTGTGCAAAGTCCACAGTCCATGAAGACACAGGCACACCACGTTCTTGCTGGGGTATAAATTGTATAGACATTTGGAGGACAATTTGGCAAGCCTACAAAAATGTAAATTTGTTTTCTTTTGATCGTTCCTAGGAATTGATGACACAGCCATGTAAACAAAGAAAACACATACTCAAGTGGCCATCAGAGCATCACATATGGGAACAACTCAATATCCACCAGTAACACTGCTCACATGAATTAGAGAACATCTGTGTTATCGAGTGTGACACACTCATAAAAATGAAGAGGTGGTAGGTAGCTAGGGAGGTAGATAAAAAAAGAAGGTGGCTTAGCTTTTCCAACAATTTCTGTTGACTGTCCATAGCACTTGGGTATGACCAGGGACAGGTCAGTCACTCACTGATTCTGTAGAACTTTGGTTTTCCTTCTTGAACCAAAATGTTTAGCTTTTGAAATAAACTTTCCAGAATCCTCCTGTTTTATTGCATCAGATAACACAGTCATGACAAACAAGAGACAAGAAACTGTTGATCACGCACATAGCACATAAGCACCAGATGAAACAATTTGCAGCAAGAAGCTGTTCTAATGCACGCACATGAGGACTCGCCACCCTAGAAGCCTCCTCAGCTCTAACACATAGCAATGGAATTTTATCATCATAAATAAGCACTAAGAGAGGGCACAAACAATTCTTGCTGTTATATACAGCAAAAGCAAAATCAATATGTCATTAGTTGGAACTTGAAAACCAAGATCTAATTATAATGCCCAGTGAATTGCCAGCAGTCTGACTTGATGACTACTTTAGCTCCACCCACATTGATTTTATTTTTTGTGAAGTATTTCTTTAAGGGCAAAAGGATTGTCATCAGACAGTATCTCGTTATGCGATCTCCTATCTTGGATTTCTTCTTTATAAAAATTGATGTGATTTACCATAATGTGAAGAATTCCAACAATTTAAAAATCAGCAAAGGGAGAGCAGTCACATCCCAGATGAGGGGGGCAAAGCGGAAGGCAGGGAAGATGCGCATGTGCAATGAGCTCAACATTTACATTGTGTGTGATGCTAAAACTTTTTATAATGAGCATGTATTGTTCTGGAGATAAAGATCAAAGAAAAAAGAGGTGTATCGTAGCTAGATGATGAGGGCCATGTAGGCAAAATTCAGGAATGAAGAAATTGTCACAGAAGTTGTAGGGAAGCCCCTGGTGGGCTTAGCCAGGTAATGGTGGGGTGGATTAGCAGCAGTATAGAAGATGGTTTAGGGAAAAGCAAGAAGATACTGGAGACAGGGCTTTGTTAAGGTATGAGGCTAGGAAATGGCAAAATGTTACCATGTGAATGCAGCAGGTCTTGGGGCAGAAGGTGAAAGGAAGCTGGCGATGTTCCAGGTCAGCCTCTGGCATTGGGGCCCAACCAGGGCAAGAGCAGGCTCTGGGGTCACAGGAAGAGCTCAAGGTGGAACACAAGACAGATGAGGTGACTTCAGGAAAGCCAGGTTCTGGAGACACTGCCTGGCATCAGGGAGATAGGTCGTGTTTTGATGTGATTTCTTGCTCCTGTCATCATTCAAAAGATATTTATTAGGAGTGATGAGGATACAGTCTCAACAAATAAACAAATCTACGAAAAATGTAAACCATTCCATTGTGATTTGGAAATGCTTTAGCCGCACATATCTGAATGTGGGGGTGTCTCTGCATGCAAGGATTCTTTCCTCTGAACACAAGAGGGGACCCCCAGGAAGCCTGACAAGGCACTTTTAGGTTCCCTGGGGGAAAGGAGGCCTGTTTCTGTTACCCTGCGGCTTGTCAGTGAAGGCCTGGCTTCTGCCCTTCACCCCATCCAGGACCACCTGTAGGTTCCCATCTTGAGCCCCCTCCTCTCTAAGGCCCACTGCCACCCGCAATCCATTCCCTGGGGTTGAATGAGTGCTCCGGCCTGGGCCTCAAGTCTGTGGGATTGTCTAAGCAAGATACTGAGCAACTAAGAAGTTCAATTCATCCCAAATATATCCTAGTATTCATCCCCTACTACCAGGCACAGAGCTTAGGTCTGAGGCAGAGCTGTGAGCCAGCCAAGCAAGTCTCTGCCCTTCCACAATTCAGGAACAAGTTCAGTTAGCAATAAGGGTCTTCTTTCCCCAGCTGGTGACTTACTGGACTTTTCTATGTATGATGGCCTGTCATGTCTTAGCACTGCAGAGCCCCAGTCAGGGAGTGGGGAGGTCCAGCACCTGCTGAATAAACTCTGGGGAATGACCCGGCCAGCGGTGAATTTCAACCTGCAAAAGTAATAAACCTGAAAAGATCAGGATACTTATTACCCAAAAGTGTTATTGAAATAAAAAAACCCAAAGAGGGTCCTCTCTGATGGTGCAGCAGGTTAAAGAGCAGCATTATGAAGCTATCCGTGGCCACTGCAGCCTGAGTTCGATCCACAGCCAGGGAAGTGACCCACAAAGCACAGCAGACCTCTCCTGACCCGCCCACTGCTCCCCTCAGCAGTGTATTTCAGTACATCTGCTTATTCTGCTCCCCACTCTATTTTTGGTGAATCTTCTCACCCTTCCACACCTCTGGCCTGTACCCCAGTTCTTATATGTATAAATCAATAAATTTTTAAAAATCCTAAGAAGCCTCCAAGTAAAGTTAATAAAGATAAACAAAGTTCTGATCTTTGCCCATAATGACTATCTCCTGCTTTCCTTCAAAATGTAATTTATCAAATTCTTCTTCAAAAATGCCTTTGGGTCCTCTGCTTTAAGGGCCCCCTACACACTGTCTAGGGTGACAGAGCAAGACAACATGAGTGGCAAAGACATGCATGCTGGGCTTCCTTGTGAATTTCCTGTCCAAGGAGACACTGAGGGGGAGAGGGGTATCTTCCTGGAAGGGGGGACAGAGGTGCACAATCCCCCAGGTCAGGTAACAGCTAAGCGTGGCTGGACACAGCACATGCCCTGCCCTCTGGCTGGACACACAGGCCAGTGTGACATGAGGTAGAGTCCAGGCCAGTGCTTGGCTCCAGTAGGCAGGTAGGGGCTGAACTGGAAACCAATGGTGTGGCTCAGGGGACCCTTGGGAGTCAGGACCAATCAGGCACAGGGACCCCCCCAGCACCACCACTCCACTGCGGCTGTTGAGACTCCAAGCTAAGACTCCCACACCCTAGGGCGTGATGGCCCCTCACCTGGCAGGTAGAGCCTTAACCACAGGTAAGAGAGTGGCAGTGGAGACTGTCGCCCTGTCAAAGCCTCTTGTTCCCGTGACCCCGACTCTCCTCACTAAGTATCTGTGGTCTTTTTTTTTTTTTTTTCAGAGTGACGAGGTCCTTACCGTCATCAAAGCCAAAGCTCAGTGGCCAGCCTGGCAGCCTCTCAACGTGTAAGTAGTAAAACAGACCCTGGCCCGACCCTGCCCTCTGCCTGTGCTCAAACCACCACCTACTGGCCACCGCGCGCCATAGCACTCTCGGGGGTCTGACGGGCGAGGCGTGCTGCGAGCGAGGAGCGTGGACCTTGCGCGTCTTCTAGGGCGGCGGGCGTGGTCGCTGTGCCCCTGGTCGTTTTAACTCGACTCAGACATAGCTACTCACCACTGAGGTCGCTCACGCGCTCAGGTCCACGGGCTGCACGTGCACGCGCCCTCACAGCACACGGGCGCGCGCGCTGGACCAGCCCGCCTCCCCGAAGCTATCCAACCCGGGAGCCTGTCACCTCCGCCCCCTTGCGGGCTGGGGCTCAAGGGCAGGCACCAGGACATCTGGACACAGAGCTGTGGGTGCCAATTTGTGGCCCACTAAGGGACCCGTCTACATTTTTCCCCTTGGGGAGCCTGCGTTGAGAAAGGGGTCAAGTACAAAGCAAGTTGTGTATAGAAAGGACAGAGGAGAGGAGGGGGAGAGGAAAGGAAGAAACAGAGGAATCCTTTTACCTTGAGCACCTAGAATGTGCCAGTCGCCCAACTAGATACGCATGCCATGGCCCCTTTAGCCCTCATTCCACCCCACTCGGTAGGGGCTGGGAGGCTCGGGGTTGTAGGACAGGTCCCTCCTCGCTCTTGCTCCACCTGTGGAGGGGCTCCAGTGGCAACCATCTCCAGCTGCCACCGGTCCCTCCCACTAAGCAACCCCTCACTCATTTTCCACTTTTTTTTTTAATTTTTTTTTATTATTTTTATTTTTTTTAAAGATTTATTTATTTATTCATACAGAACTGGGGTACAGACCAGAGATGCGGAGAGTGAGAGGATTCACCAGAGACAGAGTGAGGAGCAGAACAGGCAGATCAACGAAGTACACTGCTGAGGGGCTGAGGGGAGCAGCGGGCGGGCCAGGAGAGGTCTGCCCCGCCACGTGGTCACCTCCGGGGCAGGCGGGGATCGAACTCATGAGGAAGTGGCTTTAGCTTCTTAGTGCTGTGCTTTAACCCGCTGCGCCACCACGGAGGTCCCTCATTTTCCACTTTTTAATCAACACGATCTATATCTCAACCAGTCTGAGTTCTGGTGTGCATGACATTGGTGGTGTGGCCACATCCAGTTGTCTGCACCAAAACGAACTAAGAAAAGTTTGACTTTCACTCACTCACTCTGTATCCTTTCATCAAGAGTGACCGGAACATTTCATGGCCTTACTAATGCTTGTTGAGGGTGTCCAGGGGGCCGTGCTGTGGAAGGTGCTCAGGGATATACTGGGGAGCAGACAGTTTCTCCTGGAGCTTATGGGTTAGCGGGAGGGACACTAAGCAAATGATGACAATTCTGCTGTTCATGTAAAGACATGAGGTGCCGTAACAGTGTTTGATGGACACTAACCAATCTAGCCTGCAGGTCAGAGAACATTTCCTTGAGGGAAGGAGCTAAGACCTCCGGAATCTATAGGTGTTAACTAGTAGAGAAGCAAAGCAAGAGAACATTCTAGAAAGTCTAGAAGATCAAGCACAAAGGCCCTGAGCAGAGAACAGAGCACAATGAAGATACCAAGCAGCTATGGTGTAACTAGGTCCCGAAGTGAAATGTGAGAGCTTTGCCACGTCAGAGATTTTGATCTTTACATTAAGCGTAATAGGAAATCATTGAAGGGTTTGAAGAGGGATGACAATAGGATCTGATTTACATTAAAAAGAGTAACACTGATTCTGATATGGAAAAGGCAGAAGTAGCTGTGGCAGACCAACGAGCCAGCAATTGCAGAGGCCCTAGAGTGAACTAACTGTGAGGGCGGAGGGGCAGCAGCAGATGGCCGACACCTGCCAGGTGTTTGTTGGCGGGACAAAAGTGGGAACAGTTGAGGAAGTTCAGTGGGAAAGGCCTTACGTCCAGTTAGAGAGGTGTTGACAAGCCCATAAGATATCTGGTTGGGGCTCTGTGACCTGGGGGAAAAGGGGGAAGAGTGATACAAGGGGTGTCATCAAGGACTAGGAGGCAGTGCACCTGTGAGAGGGAGCCAGAGGATAAGGGTCAGGCTTGGTAGTGAATGCTGAAGACGCCAGCTTGCTGCCCAGGACAGCTGCCAGCAAAAGAACAGGAGAGGAGCTGCAGCCACGCTGTAGAAGGGGCTGGTGCCAGGGAAGCCGCAGTAGCGCCCAAGGGCAGCGTGGCCAGTGCCGATCCAGGAGGTGAGGGCTATAAATGTGCCAGAGATTTGCCAACATGCTGATGTCAGTGACCTTATTGAAGACCCTCTCTGCTGAGGAACAGGGAAGGGCACAGCCGAGAGCCCTGTGATATGTCAACAGAAAAGGCGGTTATGGAGTCAACGACTGATGCTTCCGTGAGGTTTGCCGTGAAGAAGAAAGACTGGGCCACCACTCGGAGGGGATAAGAGTCAAGGAAGTTTGTTCGTTTTTTTTTCTCCCCCGTTTTTAAGATGGGAGAGAGACTGTTAGAAAAATTGAAAAATATGTTGTCAGACGCCTGCCTACTTCTCGCCCACTTCCTCAGATTCCTTGAGCCCCCAGTTGGAACAGGATTAATTGATGGGCAAACACTCAGACCTCCCAAACACCCAAACACCCAAACCCTCCGCTCAGTGCTACCAGCTTGTTAAGGGAAAGGAATTTTCCTTTGATTTTCCCACACCCCACGCTCCCCTTTTCCTCTTCCAAATCTCATTAGGAAGTCAAATTAGGAAGCCGACATGAGGCAAGTTTTGTTTTGCAGAAACAGCACTGCCCCTCCTCACTGGGCCTGCTCCATTGAGGTTAATGGGATTCCAGGCTCCCTCGGGCCAGTGCAAAGCCAGGGTGACCTACTTTGCAAGGTCCTGCCCGTGGAAACTGACTTGTTTTTCAATGATCTTCATCTTTATCCCCAGGACCACTTCTCAAAGGACAGCCATGAATGAACAAATTAGCTGCTGACTTGTTTAGCTCAATAAATCAAGCTGTGGCTCTGAGAGCCCAGCGCACAGGTAGAGACAAGGAAAGACAGATTCGGAACAAAAACCCACATTCTTCACTGGGTCCTCTGGCGCCTCGGCAGCAAAATGCCCAGGTTTCCTGCAAATCAATTCTGAATCTCACCCACTTTCTTCAGTTTGCGACGGATTCCTGGACAATTTTAAAATAAGTTTCATTCCTTTTTAATCATGAATCCTGTAAAGCACTGATGTGAATTATTTCCAGCCACTGTTTAATTAACATTTGATTTGACAGTGCTCCATGTTTTGGGACATAAGAAAGGTGGGGAGACTGGAGACACAGTCTCCCTTTCCAGAAATTCTGCCTCTGGAGGGGCTGTGTCCTCATAATTACCCAAAGTCATAATTTTCCAGGAGGCCAGAGACCATCCTTTTCTCTCTAATGGAGGATGGAAGTTTCAGGGCTTTTCCTGCTTCCCGCCCACCCGCAATGCTAGTCCAGATCCAACACAATGACTCAGGAGCCTGAAGAAAGATTGGTGTTGGACTAGAGGAGCCAGCGGTGGATACTACTGGTCAGACGGACCCTGGGCCCTAGGGTCCACCAGGTTATTTAAACAGTTTTGAAGACTGGAAACCTCGCCAAACCTGCCTCCAGCCACACAGGCTCTAGCGAAAGGCTTGCGTGCCCCCTAGTGGCTGAATTTAGTTTCTACAACGTCAACTTTACTGGCGAAGAACGATGCGGGACAGAACCCAGCATTGAAGCGACCGAAGTCTCACTACTGTGGCACTGCCATTTATAAGGGGATAATAAGGCAACAGAGGGTAGGCGTTTTACCCTGCGTTTCTTGTGGTGTTTTGGAAATTTCGTTGAATGGAAAAGCTAAACTTTTACCAAAGCAGCAGTTTCTTCACAAAAAGCCCTGAAACGATGGTGTTCCCATTTTGCAGATGTAGTAACTGCAAAAGATGCGGGGTGAAAACCCCCTCACAGAGCTGCTAAGTGACTGAGCCCAGATCTAAAAGAGCAGCTTTGTTTTCTCCACACCACTTTGTCTTTGTAAATGTTAAAAAGTGAAACATTTGTTCACATCTTCATTTGGTTTTCATTTTTCTGGTACTGTTTATCCATAACATACCATTTGTGGTATTTTCTGACAGATTTGGGTGCATTCTGTAGATACTGTACAGTAGATATTAACATTTGTCACACCTCATGGAGAAGTTTTTGCTAACATGTCATTTTTTTTCTATAAAATTCTTCCTTAGACAGAGGTTTCAGTTACCTTTTAATTTTTTTTAAACTGAAAAAATTAGTATTTCTCTAACAGGCTAGAAAACTTGACTTTTTCCCCAGGAACCTGTTTGACTCTGAATTGTGTGTGTCTATTTGATATTAGATGTGAACCCTATTTTTTTGTTGTAACTGGGTTAGCATGACCCCACTTGTTGAACAGTCTTACCTTCCCCCCTCCCAGTTTGTGACATCTGTTTTGTTTAAGTCTTGATTTAAAGTGCCTGGTTTAAATGTCTGTTTTGTGTAAGTCTTGATTTAAAGCTCTACCATCTCACTGATTCATATTTCTTTTGACCTGAACATCAGGCCAGTTTCATTATCATGTTTTCTTATATATTCTGTTATATGGTATGTCTCCATCAGCTCTCTTTAATAGAAAATTCATATAAATATAAATCTCAGCTAGAAAAAAAATGAAACCAAATTAGCAAAATATCACATATGGGAAGCCATGCCATATAAGAAAATATGAATAAAGATTTTTGTTACAATTTGGACAAGTGAGAGGATTCCAGTCACATTTAGCATTTCCACAAGAAAACTCACTTATATTCTAATCCCTTTCATTATTTCAAATAGTATTTTTAGTGTAGAAGTAATAAGTACTTGAGGTGATTTTTTAATTAAAGTTGAAGGTCAAAGGAAGTACAAGAAGTCCATGTTCATTTCCTAGATTAATTCATTTATTTCAACAAATATTTGAAGAGAACCCATTGCATGCCAACTTCTAAGCCAGACACTGGGTTACAGCTACAAGACAAAAATGGCCGCTACTCTACTGGAACCTAGTGGGGAAGACGGAATGAAACAAGAAACCCTGAGGAGAATGTGAGATCTGTGGGCTCTGAGAAGGTATACCTAGACCCTCAGCACCGTGAGGGGCGGTCATACCTCCGGGTCATGCCTTGTAAACTTTCCAGTCAGTGGTAAGACAAATGAGCTGGGTAACTGAAGATGCTAGAAAATCTCTCCCTTACAGATGCAAGTCGCTTCTGTTGACCATATTACCGCAACTAAGGGTAGGCATTTTGTGTCGGGATTGGTTGCCCCATATTTCCTACCTCTGAATGACCAACCTCTGGAGACTACTTTGCTCAAGCGATACATTTGGGTAAAATGCCATTTGCAAAGAACAATTTGCATCAGGCCTTACAAAAACACAGGCAGTTCTTGGATGGTTACATCCATCAGTTGGGCAGAATATCAAGAAGGTGTGCTGAGTGGGGTAGGTTTGGTTCCTCTGGTTCTGGATTCCTGAGCAGAGCTGGTTTAGTCTCTTAAGTTGTCTTGATGAATAATGTCACCATTGGGTCTAGGGTATAAATGACTGACCTGACACAAAGCCAGGTGCCCTGGGAGGTGGGCAGGTAGTCATCCTCCTGCTGACCTCCATGTGGAAGAGGAAACTGACCCCAAGGGCCTGCTGCACCCCCAGCGGCTAAGAGCCAAGGACAGGTGGGGTGCAGAGACGCCCCGGTGCTCTGCCCGGCCCTATTAAGAAGGGACGCCCATGTCCTATTAGCCACTGGGTGCACAATGCTGCATCTCCTGAAGCACAATTCTTTAGAAGCTGCTCAACCCCTGGCCTGCACGCCAGGATGGGCAAATATAGGCAAGGAAATCAGTCCCCAATTTGTGCCTCTCTGAACAGCCAGCAAAGCCGTGTGAGACACGAGCCGCTTGGATGGCTTCCTAAGCCAGCACCTCCTCCCAGCTCCACAGTGTGCTCAGAGAGGGAATGCCAGGTGGGAAGTTGGGCCTGGAAGAGGGTGAGGGGCTGGCCGGCTCAAGGTCTAGTGCTAGCAAGTTGTGGAGCAAGTCACTGGTCTCCCGTGGTTGGGTCGCTCCCTGGAGGCAGAGGAATGGGTGCAACTGTGAAACTTAGGGTTCCCGCCCTCAAGGAGTTCCCAGAATAGTGGGGGAGACTGAGCAGTGAGAAAGCCATTGCAATCCCAGAGTAACACCCCACAGATCCACACAGCGTGTGGACTGCCGGGACTCTGGCCTCAAACTAGGCAACCAAAGGCCCCGGGAAGAGATGAGCAAGCCCAGAGGTGTGAAATGTGAGCACAGTGATTCGCCAACTTGAGGTGTGTGAGGACCACTGGGAGGGATGAGCGCTGAGCCCCAACCACAGGCTCTGGTTGAAAGACTCCGGTCCAGCACAATAATCTGCATTCCCAGTGCATTCCCACCAGCCAAAGCCAGCGCTGGGGCAGAGCACCCCTCCACTCAGGCCGAACCGAGACTGGCACACCCCACTGGACTGTGGCCCGCTCAGGTGGCCCCCTGCCACTCCCTTCTCGTCTGAGCCCACATGGCCCTAAGTGCGCCTCCTTCAAAACAGAAGCAGCAGTAGCAGCTCAGCACTGGGCAGGTTCTCTCATTAAGCATCACATACCCTTTAGCGCAGCCATAGAGGGACCCTTTAGCGCAGCCATAGAGGGACCCTCCTTTTCACACCTTGGATACAGGAAGGCTTGCAGCTTGTCTGAACACCCGCCATGCCAGCATGCACACCCAGGCCCCCCTCCTTCGCTAGTCAATGGGTGACCCCACCTGGCTGTCAAGTCCACGCACTGGGTTTCCACAGTGCCTGACCAGAGCTGGAGTCGTCACTTGCTAGGGACAGGTGAGGGCAGCCAGAAGCAGCTGACTCGCAGGGTCGTGGGGACTCACCAGCGGCTGACAGGGACCAGCTGCCAGCTGGATTGAATAGGCAGGTTGATCCTGGGCCAAGGACTCCCTGCAGCTAACAGCTTGGGGTGTGCATCAGGCAGAACTGCCTGGGAACCTTAGTCCCTCCATCTGTGCCTGAAATGCAGGGGCCTCTAGAAGCCTTTCTTTCTGCTTTACATCATGGGGTAATAATTCTACTGCCATAGGATTGTCTGGGGCAATGGCAGGGGAGGTAAAGTAATACAGGTCTGCCAAGTGTGAGCTGAGTGGACTAAGTCTTCTCCCCGCCCTGCACGCAGGTCCTTTGCTGAGACACCACTGTTGATCTCAGGCAGCCCGGGTCACTCCTTAAACTTCTTAGCAACATGAGACTCAGAAATTGAAGAACTGACTCTTGGAGCTCAGGGTCTATCAGTCTCTGATGCCACAGTGAACAGAAGGAAATGGTCAAGGAACCAGCTATGAGGCCACGGCTGAGCTCTCGTGCCAGGGCAGAAGCAACTTTTTGAGGGCAAGAGAGGCAGCAGGCAGGAAAGCGTGTTCCTTCAAGAGAGTGAAAGCGGGCAGGGAGGAGGACTTGGAATGTGACGATGAGAAGGACACCAGCCTTGAACTAACAGTGACTTGGGTGGTGTTCACTCTGCCACTTCCCCGTAGCTATGAGCAAGTCGCATAACCCTTGAAAGCCGCCCTTTCTTCGTGATAGAGGGGAGTCAGTAACCCTTATCCAAATTAAGGATTAAGTGCAAACACATAAGAAATGCGTGGGCCCTTGTTAAGCAGTTCTTTGTAAAGTTCATTCACATCCAACACAGCCGGCCACTCGCACTGTGTGCATCTGTTCATTCACTTATACAGGGGCATTTACTGAGTGTCTACTCTGTGCCACGCACCATTGTAGACTCTGGGGAGCAACCCACAAGGTAGACAAAAATGCTGCTTCCCTGGCACCTACACTCCAGGGGGAGACAACAATCGATAAACAGCTAAATAATTAAGTGATGCCAACACAGTAAAACTGGGGAGGTCGGGCCCTCCCTGGTGGTGCAGCGGGTTAAAGCACTGCACTACGAAGCTTAAGCCACTTCCTCAGGAGTTCGATTCCCGCCTGCCCCGGAGGAGTCCACATGGCGAGGCAGACCTCTCCTGGCCTGCCCGCTGCTCCCCTCAGCAGTGTACTTCATCGATCTGCCTGTTCTGCTCCCCACTCTGTCTCTGGTGAATCCTTTCACCCTCCGCATCTCTGGCCTGTACCCCAGTTCCATATGAATAAATAAATAAATCTTTAAAAAAAAAAAAAAACACTGGGGAGGGTGGGAGCATCTGATTCTCTCCAAAGGAGGTACTGGCTCAAGAGAGAGCACTGGAAACTGGCAGTGCCCAAAGCAGAGTTGAGTAGGCGACTGAGAATCCTGCTGCTTCCTGCCGCGCTCCTCCTATGCAGAGCCATGGTCTGCCCGGCTCTGAGCACGTAACCCGGAGGCCCTAACATGCTGGTCTCTGTGTTTTGGTTTCCAGGAGAGCAGCACCCTCGGCTGAATTTTCAGTGGACAGGACACGCCACTTAATGTCCTTCCTGACCATGATGGGTCCCAGCCCCGACTGGAACGTGGGCCTGTCTGCAGAGGACTTGTGCACCAAGGAATGTGGCTGGGTCCAGAAGGTAGTGCAAGACCTGATTCCCTGGGATGCTGGCACCGACAGTGGGGTGACTTATGAGGTAGGTGTCTGCTTGGAGTGGTCATTGGCAACTGTTCCCCTGCCCACCCCTGTCAGGGAGTCCTGGACAAGGTAAATCTGGCCCAGGCCGTGTCCTGAGTGAACCCACCAACTGGCAGGGGAGCCATGAAGGTCTCATCACATACATAGCACTCAGGCTCTGGGAGTCCCCTCAGAGGGGAATATGGAGAGGGAACCCGAAAAAGAGCACCCCACAGTGAAGAGAAAGGAACAGCAGGCCAGGGCTTGGGGAAGGAGGAGGAGGGAGAGAGGGAGGGAAGGCAGGGAACAGCAGGAAGTAAGTTGCTGACAGGAGACTGAGCCAGGTACCTGAGGTTTCCTGACATCCAGACTGAGCTGTTTAGAGCCCTTCTGAATGTCAGGATTTCTCATATATGATCAGCTCACCATCTGCATCAAAATCTGGAGCCATCAGAAAACAAGTGGTCGAACAGTCTAGATCAGAAAGTAGTAAACTGGCTTGTGGCCAAGTTGGGTGTACCGCCTGACTCATCGGTTTCAAACTCAGCCACTCTCATTGGATACACGTTGTCCCGATGGACTGCTTTCCCAGTACAACAGCTGAGTTGAATAGCCCTGACAGATGGTATTTAGGTCTGCAAAGCCTAAAATAGTTCCCATCTGACCCTTCACAGACAAAAGTTTGCTGCCACCTGGTCTAACAGGAAGAACCCTGGATGCAGGCCAACCTGGCCAAGCCATTTCCTAGCTGGGATGACCTTTCAGAAGCTTGGCTCTTGCATCTGGCCAACCATGTACATAGAGAATCTGAAAATGCAGATTCTACAAATTTCCAAGCAATCATAACATGTATCATGAGTAGAATTCCATAAATATAAGCAATAGTTATATTTGTTAGGTTCTTATTGAGGTTTTTACTCTGGTGATGTAACAATCAAATTGCTTATATGTTTTCACCAATTTTGCCTCCCAATATTTCTGTTTTCCCCCCACTGCAGTCACCCAACAAGCCCACAATCCCCCAGGAGAAAATCCGGCCCCTGACCAGTCTGGACCATCCTCAGAGTCCTTTTTATGACCCAGAGGGTGGGTCTATCACTCAAGTAGCCAGAGTTGTCATCGAGAGAATTGCCCGGAAGGTATGAGGTTCACACCAACCATTGGCACCAACCCTTGCACCAGGAGTGACAAGAAGACTATACTTCTCTCTGTTTTAGATTCGTGGGGCCCTGGCATATTCTATGATATGTAATTACTGCTTGAGTAATATGGTCCAGGCTAAGCTTCATCATGCATTTCATACTTGATGACTAAGGTCTGCCATGGGTCAGGAATTGGAAGGCAGTGGCGCATGAGCCATTTATTTTGCATGTGGCACATATTGCTTGCCTCGTTTTTCTTTCTTGCTATCTTGCCATTTCTTTTTCAATCACATAGTATATGCGGCACAGGGCTCTAGTATGGCCTAGGATGTTTTTATAGGGTGGGCATTAGATTTCATATCCACCTCCAATTTTCCTCCTTCAATTTTCCTGAACCCTTTAAGAAAAAATCCTTTTGCAGGGGGAACAATGCAATATTGTTCCAGACAACGTGGACGATATTGTAGCAGACCTGGCTCCAGAAGAGAAAGACGAAGGTACATGGTTTTCCTTTTTACAGGTGGGCCACATACATTAGCATGAACTTTTGGAAAAAACATTTGCTAGCATATTTTATTATAGTCTTTGGCTTGGGGTAATCCCATCTTTGAGGATTTTGGCTTGCTAGACAATCTAAAACAAGACCCAGAGTAACCACAAAGCATAAGGAAATTGGTGGCAGCGTATCACAGGGATATCTTTTCAACTCTGCTGGACTTTAAAGTGGTAGTGTAAATGACATTTGTGTAGGTTCGAGTAATCAGAGCGCTCTGTTCTGATTCTGACACTACCTGTGAGGCAGGAAAGGGGACATCCACCCTCCCCAGAAGGAAAGCGACACTCAAGTCCTCATCGGGGTCTTTGGCCAAGTTTTCACCCAGCATCTGCACCCAGAGACCCTGGCCTCTCGTTCTGTGATTTTGGACAAGAAACTCCCCTCCCCACCATGGGTTCCTCACCTGTAAAATGGAGCTCATAACAGAACTTCCTCATAAACTGTTGCCCCAATAAACACATGGAATAAAACGTAAGATTCTCACAATGCTGTTGTTACATACGTGCTTGGCTTGGGCTGCTTATTCTTGTCATGACACCTGTGTGGGGTCATTAGAAAGATGAAGCAGCAACACAAATTTCCTATGATGTGTTTGCACCTGTGTAGAAATACTACTTGCCAAGATGAGAGGCTGGAAATGAAAAGACGTGCGGGTGTTGAGCGGAAGGACTAGTAAGACGATCTTTCCTTGTGGTTATTTAACTGGTAGCATAATGCTAAAATAGAACCTTTAAAGGGAATGAATGATGCTCACCCATTCTCCCCCACCCAGGCTTACCCAGGCTCACTGGGGCTGGTCAGGAGACAGGGATTTTCTTGTCCCTAGATGTTTGCCTGGAGAGAGCGTCACTCATAGCTCCCACTGACTCCCAGAAAGGACATGTCACATACTCTTTCCAGATGACACCCCTGAAACCTGCATCTACTCCAACTGGTCCCCGTGGTCCGCCTGCAGTTCCTCCACCTGTGACAAAGGCAAGAGGATGCGGCAGCGCATGCTGAAGGCACAGCTGGATCTCAGTGTCCCCTGCCCTGACACCCAGGACTTCCAGCCCTGCATGGGCCCAGGCTGCAGCGACGAAGGTGAGGGGACACCCTCAGTCGGTTGGTGGCAGGCAGGCTCTAAGGTTAAGGGGGGGTTCTGCCTGCTTATCTGGACCCTTCAGACCTGCTCAAGCCACATGCCAAGAGGGAGCACCAGCACCCTGACTGTGGTGTCCATGGGGTGCATTCAGGGGAGACCCCCATCTCCACCAGTGCCTAGAGGGCTCTAACACATTATACTTCTTATGACATGAAATCCAGTTTGTCTTGTTTTTTCTTTAGTTACCTTTTCCTTAGGTATCAGGTCTGAGAAATCACTCTCGGAGCCATGTTGTGAAGTTTTTACCTTATATTCGTCTAAGAATTTCACAATTTTTGCTCTTCGGTTTAGGGCTTTGATCCACTTTGGGTTAATTTCTGTACCGTCAAATAGCACTTGGACATATATGGAAGTTCACCCGAAGGCTCTCCTTTCTATAACGTTGGTCTGTATGTCTGTATGTGCTCAAGTCTGATCAAGCACCTCTCTGTGTCATTGCAGTATCGTACTGTTTTGACACTTCATAGTAATTCTGGAAAGTAGGAAGTTTGACTCTTCTAGCTTTGTTCTTTCTTTCAAAATTGTCTTTTGGGGATTCTGGGGGAAGATTCCAGAAGAATTGTGGGATAGATTTCTCTATTTCTGCAAAAGTACCTGTTTTTATTTTAACACTGGCTTATAACACTATGTGATAGAAAGGTACAGGATCGCACGCTTCAGATGTCACCACACCACACCCTCACCGAGGTCCACTGTGTGCCCCCCCTTTTCTTCCCACCCTCCCCCTTCCGCACTTGTAGCTTAATTCTACAGTCAGACTTCTGGGGTTTCTTACTGGTTTGGCCTTGTCCTTTGTTTCTCCATATTCCACATGTAAGTAAAATCATCCAATAGTTATCTTTTTCTTTCTGCTTTAATTCATTTAGCATTATCCCCTCCAGTTCCACCCACATTGTTGCAAATAGCAAGAGTTCATCTTTTTTCCCATTTTTCAGATGTGATGTGTATATACCACATCTTCCTAGTCTACCTGTCTGCCCTTGGGCACATAGGTTGTTTCCATAACTCACCAGCTTTTGGTATCAGGGTGCCATGCTCGCCAAAGCTCCCTCCCAAAACCAGGCAGAGTTCTCCTGTGCCCACAGCAGGTTACCTTCTGTACTTGATGACTTGGGGGTAATTAGCATAGTAAGGAAGCAGAGAGGCTTTGGACGTTAGAATATGACAATATGAATGTGCATTCTTTGTGGCAACCACATCTTAGCAAAAGTTCCTTCCTAATTATCTGGGCCTGTTTGTTAGTCCAGTCATGTTGTTGCTCCCCATTTCAGTCCACTTTCCAAGACACCATCAGACAGAATCTTTTGCAAGCAGCAGATCAAGTCTCTCCTAGTTATAGCTATGGCACATGCAAACTCCTCAGCTAACTTGACTGGCACAGTAGTCTTGAATATACCAAGTTTGGCGAGGATGAGTGCTCTGGTACACACCCAGAACAATTATCATCACACTGCCACACTAACTGGCACCCGAGGAGATCCCTTTTGGGGATACTTGAGTGGAGCCTGTTGAGCCCAGCCTCTTCCTTTCAGAGGGCACTCAGCTTGATGGTGCATGTGCTCTGCCTGCCCAGGGCTAAGGTCTTGCCTGTCATAGGAAGCCTACAGATCAGGGCTGGTCAGACTTGATACCCCCAACCACACCACACTGGACCACAATTACTTTATTTGGCTGCACCTGCTGCCTGGAGCTAGCCTTGTTCCTGGGCCTAAGAAGTGGATCTCAGCTGTGATTCTTACTGTACCACCAGCAGCAGAAGCTGAATAGCCACATCAGGACATCACCCACGTGTGTGTGGCCGCCATGGTCACACTCAGATTCCAGTCCTTCCTTCTGGCCTCATCACCCAATAGCACATATACACTCTGTACAGGGACATTTGCATGAGCTGTTCCCTTCATCCTAAATACTATCTAGCGCATCAAAAGCCGATGCAGATGTGTCCTCTTGTGTGAAATCTTCCCCAGAACCTCCAAAAGGAGCAAGTTTTTTCTCTCCTCTTTGCTTTCCAATTGCCTGGGTTTTCCTCTGATGTTGAATTTTTAATATCTGGATTTTTTTTTCTTCAGTTTATGTGCTCACACTCTGTGTAGAGAATGAGATCTATATCTTACACAGCTTTTTAACTTCAGAACATAGCACTAAGCATTTAGTAAATCTTTGTTGACATGAATAAATGGGTGGGTGTGTAGCCAAGTGGATGACTTCATTCTCCTCCTCTATTTTTTTAGAACTCAGTAGGCAAATAATCACGCGCACCTGTTTCCACCAGGCGCCACACAACCCACCCACCACTTTGGCAGCAGAACCACCATGCCATGCCGAGAAGTTCCATTGACTTTTCCACCAACCTTCAAACTTCTACAAGATCAGCCTTTGCCAGCACCCACTGGTGGCAGCAAAGTCACCTAGAGCCCAAGATGTCAGCCAGAGACTGTGATAGCCCATCTTTCTACCCCTATGTGCCCTCTCCTGGCACTTACTCCCTCCCCACTTTCCACCCCACTGGCTCCCCATTTGCTCCTGCCCCCCCCCCTTGCTGGACCTCAGGGCAGCACTGAGATGCCTGTGACTACTCAGGAGCATCTGTTCTCCAGTGCAGATCAGTCCTGTGCCCTCAGAGTCCCCCGGTGAATCACACTCTACCTTTAGGAGCAAAATTCTCTCATCTGTTTTTCTAGATTGGGAACTGTGACTGTTGACAATGACCAAAATCACAAGTTTCCCTGAGCAAAAGAACTTAGACTGCATCATATAGATGGTCGATGGATAGACAGATAGATAGATACAGACAGACAGGCAGGCAGATTCTTTCCAGCATTGTCCAATACAACTTTCTGTAATGATGGAAATGTTCTGTATTTGCACAGTCCAATAAGGTAACTATTAGCCACACATGGCTATTCAGAAATTAAAATGTGATTAGTGACTGAGGAAGTAAATTTGAAATATTATTGAATGGTCTTAGATGTATGATATGTCGTAGATCATGCATCTGTATAATGATTTGTTTTCAATTATAGGTAATGAAATGATATCATATACCACATATCCCATAGCTGTAACACGCCTTCTGTTCATCCAAGCATCTTTGAAATGTTCTGAAATTGGGATAAGGCATATTCCTGAGTGCCCCTGGCACCTAGAACAATTCTTGATTACAGATGTAGGTATACCTTTGAAGTTGGTTTCCTTGAATGCCAGCTGGTTCCTTCTTGCTTCCTGCCTGATGATCCCAGTCCCCAGGGCCCCCAGCGCGCGCCCCCTGGCGGGCGGAGTCCTGACTGCAGCGTGCGCTCTACTCGGTGTTGCAGATGGCTCCACCTGCACCATGTCGGAGTGGATCACCTGGTCGCCCTGCAGCATCTCCTGCGGTATGGGCATGCGATCCCGGGAGCGGTACGTGAAGCAATTCCCAGAGGATGGCTCTGTTTGCACGCTGCCCACCGAGGAGACAGAGAAGTGCACAGTCAACGAGGACTGCTGTGAGTGGGGGCGCCGGCGGCTGGGGCGGGCGCGGGGGGGTCTCCAGGCACCCAATGCGATCCCAACCACGCGGCACTCCCCAGCTCCTAGCAGCTGCCTGATGACCGAGTGGGGCGAGTGGGACGAATGCAGCGCCACCTGCGGGATGGGCATGAAGAAGCGGCATCGCATGGTCAAGATGAGCCCAGCTGACGGCTCCATGTGCAAGGCCGAGACGACCCAGGCAGAGAAGTGCATGATGCCCGAGTGCCGTGAGTGGGGAGGGTGGGGGAGGGAGGACCTCAGCAGCCCCTACCCCTACCGCCATCAAGCATCGAGGTCAGAGACTGGGCAGGTGCAGGGGGAAAGGCAGCCCGCGCCCCACACACTGGGCCTGCGAGGAGCACAAGGAGAATCACGGGTGTGTGGACATCAACCAGACCCAGAGAAAGTGGCCTCGTTGGAAGAGCTGGGGGAGCAAACTGGTGTCCTCTGCATAGATTCAGTAATTGTTGAGAATCTTGGGTTGGCGGGTGAAAGGAGTAGTACATTTTGGCAGGATGTGCATTACCCTGCTCAGGTCCCTGGCTAGCATTAGGACATCTGCTGTCTGCATGATGCCCTGTGGACCCACCACTGCACACATGCAGGCAGCTATCCGTGCTTTCTAGAGACTTCAGCCACTAAGGGTCCAAAACTACAACACTGAGCATGGTTCCTAGGTGTGGGGGTGCTCTGTCACTAGTAAGACCTGTTCAAATCCTAGGGGCCCCTTTAGTGAAGACTGTGTATTCTAACGGTTGCGTCATTGCTGATGCCCAGTCATGACCAACAGCCAGGGCCAGAGGAGATGCAAAATAAGAGCAGTGGACTGGGGAGCCACTTCTTGCTCCATGATCTTTGCTCCTATCCAAACCCACCAATTAATTTCACTTTTCTCCAGGGGCCAGAACAGGGGAAGGTGGGAGGTATGGGGTGCCAGGGATCAAAGAAGACCAGAGGAGCTGTTCTAAGTGGCCTGTCTGGCTCTTGGCCCAGACACCATCCCGTGTCTGCTGTCCCCATGGTCCGAGTGGAGCGACTGCAGTGTGACCTGTGGGAAGGGCATGCGGACCCGCCAGCGGATGCTCAAGTCTCTGGCTGAACTTGGGGACTGCAATGAGGAGCTGGAGCAGGTGGAAAAGTGCATGCTGCCTGAATGCCGTAAGTTCCCGGGCTCCTGAAGCACCACCCCCCACCCCAAACCCGCCTTGGTCGCTCCTGTGCCCTCCCAGTGGGGTCACAGGGCACAACAGTCTGCCAAGGGGAGGGCATGGAGTCTGGACATCTGTAAATAGTTAATTAAGCTAAATCTCATTATTAAGTGGGGAGTCCCACTACCACCTACGGAAAGCCAAGCGGCCAGTTGCTATGAAATCTAACAGGAGACTTAGTTGAAAACACTTAGCACAGGTTCAGTTAACTCTTCTGGTTTTCAGTTCTTTCCTTCCCCCGCTGCCCCTGCCGCGGTGCTGATTCATGGTCAAAGTTTTTTCATTCTCCCTGTGACTTTTCATTTACCCACGATCCAACCGAACACTAAATCAAGTCACTCCTGCACAATATCCTTTGACCAGTCAGCAAGGCAACAAGCTCTCAAAAGCTTACTGCCCACAGATCTCCAATCTCTGCCATCTGCTATATTTACTGCACGGGGACTTCTCCAAGGAGAGCTTGCCTGTCTGATAGCCTAATGACTTCTCAGCTTATGATGCTTATTCCAGTCTTTGTAGCTTCCTCTGAAATGCACTCTAGTCTCCCAAGGTCCCTCTCCCTTGTTGCTCAAGCTGCCTAGTTCAAATCCTGGGTCTGCCCTTAGGTGCTGTGGTCAGATTACTCAGCGTCCCATTCCTTAAAGAGCAAAACTGTGGGAAACACTTCCTAAGTTGCTCTCAAGGCCACACCACGTTAGTACAAGGTGGCAAGCGCTGGCCATGTACATGTATGTCACCTATCACAGCCCACCTGTCACACGTGGAGGTGACCCACACAGCAAAAGACAGCCCAAGGCTTTGTCAACCAGCTACCAGAATCAGGGCTTCAAAACTTTCTACCTGAGACACCATTACCAACTTGAAGATAACTCTGTATCTCCATAGTGTCTACTGCATAAAGGGAGGAGGGAGAAAGAACATTCATGGAGCACTTATCGTGGGCTGGAAGCAGTCTCATTTAATCCTCACAATAAGCTTTTCTCCTATTTGTTAAAGAAGACGAAACTATTGAACAAAATGAGCACTTCTTAGATCCAACTTGGCCTGACTTTCAAAGCAGTGGCGAGTGTGGAGTCAGAGTGTGGAGTCATTTGCCTCCTGAGGGCAGACACAGCCCGAGAAACAGCTGCCGGGTTATTTCCGGGTTATTTCCACATTTGTGAGATGCAACTTAGTAGGAAGAGTGTGCTGGTTCTTGTTCTGTGATAACCCACAATCCACTACTTGCACCCACCCCTTCTGTTTACTGAATGTTCCATTTCTGGTTCTCGGTCTGACAGCAAAAGTCACAAACCCTTGGTATTGGTCCACATGGGTCAGTTCTAAGAAGTAGTGGCACTAGGGAGTTTCCTGCCTGGGACACTTTCCTGAATAAAAATTAAAATAAATTTAATATACAATATAATATATATAGTATAAAACTTGAAAACTGGGGGGGGGAAGGGGGGCTTGTCTCTGCCGCCTGAGGCTGACTGGGCCCACAGAGCAAGAAAGCAGCTCTGAACAACAGCTTCAAAGTCTTTTTGAGTCACAGACTAGGGAAAATGGGTTTTGACCCAGGCACCAATGCTGCCTGCATTTCTACCATCTATCAGGCTGGATGAATTTGACAATCTGTTGGCACCTCAGTTTCCTCTGCTGTGAAATGGTTAGCAGCACCACTTGGCGTTTCTCATGGGCTGTGTTACGTTCCAAGGCCAGTGTCTCAGGCATGAGGGAGTCATCCTCATCTGTGTCTTGCAGCCATTGACTGTGAGCTCACGGAGTGGTCCCAGTGGTCGGAATGTAACAAGTCGTGTGGGAAAGGTCACATGATTCGGACCCGGATGATAGAAATGGAGCCTCAGTTTGGAGGCGCACCCTGCCCAGAGACCGTGCAGCGGAAGAAGTGCCGCGTCCGGAAATGCCTCCGGAATCAGTCCATCCAGAAGCTGCGCTGGAGGGAGGCCCGAGAGAGCCGGAGGAGTGAGCAGCTGCGGGAGGAGTCGGATGGGGAGCAGTTCCCAGGTATTGCTCCCAAGTGAGGCCCTAGTGCAGGATGTCCAAGCAGGAGCACTAGGGTGGGACTTGAAGGACTTGCAGGAGTTTGCCAGATGGAGAAGGGCGGCCCACTCAACAGGAATTGAATGCACAGGCACCGGACTTTTTATTCAGGCAACAAGTGGGATGCAGGTGGGGCAGATGGGAGGGCAAGACAAGAAGCCATGCTGGAGAGGTAGGGACCAGGCCTTAAAACATTACTAGCCGCCAGGGAGTTGAGACTTGGTTTTGTAGTTGAAAAATTTCAGCAAGTTTTAATAAACCCATGTTTAAGCTTGTAAGTGGCAAAAAATAGAAGCAGAAGGGACAGTTATTAAGTTTTGTGTAGACTGGGAGAAAGATTATGTGTCCCCTTCTTTCCGTGTATTTTTAGGAATTTCCAGGAGTTAAATAAAAATCTCACACGGGGTTCCCAAGCCAAGTGTGCAGTAACATCAGCCAAATGATGAAACACATACGGGAGGCCATGGCTTGTTGTTGGGTATTGGTTAATGGATGGGCTTTGCACCCCTGGGGTGACCAAGGATGGTTCTATGCAAAAATGATGGCACATGTGTACTCTGAGTTTGTTTTTAAAGGAGAGCACAAGTTTTCCCCTTCTCTTCACTTTCTTAAGATATTCATCTCCACCCCCCTCAAAATGAGAAGAGCTACCTGACAGAAAAGAGCTATCTGTCCATATCAAAATGGTCTGTTGTTCCTAGCAGCCAGCCAGCAAACACCCACTAAGCCCACTGATGTGCCAAGCATGCACTGTGCCAGGCTTCTTATCCATCAGACTTAGCATAGTATTAACTAGAAAATCATCAATGTATTTGGCTCAAGGAGCAGTGTTATCAAGCACTATGGAGCATTCTTTTAAAAGATTTAACCTAATCTCTGAGCATCAGGGAAGTTATCTTTGAGAAAGGCATCTTTATCTTCATTAAATAATAATAAGTACTTGAGTTTACATAGTATTTGGGGAGCAAAGTCTGGGAATGAAGTGGCCACTTGCACCTTGAGTGACAGCCCCATTTAAAAGTCCCCCCGCCCCCCCCACACACACACAATCACTTGACATGACTGTGTGAGCAAGTGGCTTGGGTTGGCTCAGCTGGGTGATTCTTCTGAGGTCTAGCTTCGGCTCATTCCTGTGGCAATCAGCCGGTGGCTCAACAGGGACAAGGTCTAAGATGGGCCTCACAAATATTTCTGGGGTTCGGATGCGCTGGCTGAGACCTTTCCCCGGATGGCCTCTCCAGCAACCTAGCCAGTCTGCTTACATGGTACTGACAGGGGCCCCATGGCTATTTCTCAAGTCATCTTTGCTCATAACCCATCAGCCAAAGCAAGTCAATATAATGAAGCCCAGATGCTAGAAGTGCCTCCTCATGGGAACGGCTACAAAGTATTTATGGTCATGTTATTGCACTTGATTACATCCCTAGTAAGAAGTGTAACCATGATTTATTTCAAACCATTATATATAAAGTAGAGAAACACAGACTACTGAAGTTGACAGCTGTTTACTCAAGTTCAGCATGCCCTGTTCCGTCCCCAATTCCCACTGGCCTAACTCAGCCCTGTCATGCTTTCAGGCTGCAGGATGCGCCCCTGGACAGCCTGGTCAGAATGCACCAAACTGTGCGGAGGCGGGATTCAGGAACGCTACATGACTGTGAAGAAGAGGTTCAAGAGCTCCCAGTTTACGAGCTGCAAAGACAAGAAGGAGATCAGAGCATGCAATGTTCACCCTTGTTAGCAAGGGTGTAAGTTTCCCAGGGCTGCACTCTAGATTCCAGAGTCACCAATGGCTGGATTGTTTGCTTGTTTGTTTATGGCAATTTAACTTGTGTACACTAGATTTCATTTCTGCAGTGTGGTTTGCCCAGTAGTCTCATGGATGCCAGGGACACCCTTTCTGTATACTTTTGGCACGGGCTCAATGGGGCTCCCTCATCCTTAGCTGGCCCTCCTCCAGCACCTACCGTCAGCCAGCCCACGCTAGGCAGAAACGTGTCCCTCCGATGCATCCGCCTGGGCAGCAGGGCAGACCCTGGCCTCCTCAGATGGAGAGGTGACTTGTCTGGAACTGACACTGTGCCTCAGTCCCAGGGTGCAGCAGGGGGGGCCATTCCCAACCAGATGACAGAGGAGATTCCCCTTGCGCTTGTTTTTGGCCTGTTCTTTCTGGCCAGAAACTACTGTTTGCCCATCCTTTTCATTTAGTGGAACTTTAGGTCCCTTGTTGAGTCTCTTTAGTCATCAGTAGTTCTTGGGGGAAACAGAAACAGTAGTCATGAAAAGGCACACGGATGTTTGTGGCTTTTCTTTCACTGAAAAAATCTGAATTGCTCTCATATTGCTCTCACATCCCAATACTGGTTCCTGATACCAAAAGAAATGATGGCTGCTTTATTTGATTATAATGTTGGCTCATACACTTGAGGCAAAGGATAACTATGACTAGAAAGTACTGTTTCACTTTTTTGGGTGGGGAGGAGAGGGAGCAATTCTCCTTAAGAAGCCACGCCTATGAACTTTCTATTACTAGATCCTTACCAAGGTGGCAAACTGGCCTCTCCAGCAGCCCCAAACCTGAGTTTTAAAAAATCTATGGACACGTGTTATCTTGACTTTAAAACTTTCAAGCTAATATATACCAACGAAACATTATTTTATTAACATAAACATATGTAGACATCTGCCCCAAACCCACCAACCAGTCCTCTAACAAAAATACTATCTCTGTACTTTAGTTTTGTCTTCCAAGTCACAGATTTTTATTTGGAGAAAGAAAAAGCACTTCAGAGACCAAGGAAGACAGAAGTCTAGGAAGAAAGGAATGTTACAGAATCAAGCTGGGCAAGAAAGTCAGAAGTATTCCATTCCCCATGCCAAGGCTCTGGTCCCCAACACACCCATAAAAAGGCCTTGGTTGTCTCTCCTGAGCACTCACAGGCACCCAGAATTCCAGGAGACTGACTACCATGGATTACTGAAAAAGGCTGTTACTGGGTTGAGTCCATCAGCAGTTTTCACTCATTCATTATTAAGTTTTTTAAAGTTTCCTTTACTATGCTTAATCCAAGTATGTATCATGGATGAGATACGTGCACAGTGCTTTGAGTACTCTTCAAGAATCTGCATTAAACACATCAGGGTATTTACACACACACAGACACACACACACACACACTATAGCCCTGAATCTGTATTATTTTCTGTAACTGTTCTATTTTCTGTAACTAGGTCTGTTTTTCTGTTTCTAAACTAAGCGTTTAGCAGGTCGGGCATTTTTTACCATCATTACCCACTCAATCATACTCAGAAGAAGGCATGGTTCTTTTCCCTCTTGTTCTGGAGGGGCCGTTGTTATCACATCCCTGAACTTTCTCAAGCTTTGAGTTGTCTCCAAAATTATTTTTTAATTCTTACATGAACTGTTTATTCCTCCTCACAAAGGAGCCTAATAAAAATAAATAAAAGGTTTAACTTTTTTTTTTGGATGAAAAACAAGTCTTGATACAAGATCTGCCCAATTTGTCAAGTCCTCTTAATTATCTGGACATGTGTTTACTCTCAAGCCATCAAAATCAAAGTTCCTGAAGGTGATGATTCCCCAGTAACTCTAAGGATGTCACGCCAGTGTCTCATGCTCCTATTGGATCCCTATTAAGAATATTTTAAATCCCACTTTTGGAGATTTAAAACCAGGCAGCTGATTAAAAGCTGAGAATAAGTAACATGATTCTTGTTACATGTGTTTTTGTTTGTTTGTTTGTTTATTTGCAAAGGGGAGTTCATGAGACATATCAGATCTCTTTCTTACCAAAGTCTTGTGTTAGGTGGTTTATAGTTTTTCTGGTTAACCAATCCTTTTGGAAATAAAGACTTTTTACTACAAAAATTAAATTTGTTTGGACTTCCACTTGAGATGGTAGTAAATAGATCATCAAATATCCAATAAAAATTGCCATATCAATTACAAAGCAGTTATGATTGTTGTCTATTTTTATCAATGTCAAACCAGTTATAATCCAATTTATGTCCACATTTTAAGATGACCAGGAGTTCAGAGCTGTATTCCCTACCATCAGATGTCAGGTCACTTACCACTCACCCTGCCAGGGCATTATTTGAAGGATATCTCTTGTAGCAAGTAAAAATCAAGCCCAGATTTCTTTAGACCCAGAATTGAACAAACTTTAAAAAGCTGTGCTGTTTTTAATTTGAAGTTTGTGTATTAAATACATTTTAGGCATATTTAGTGTCTGCTCACTTCTTTCAGAAGGGGTTCTGGACCATATGTTTTCACATGACAGTACGTCTCCAGAAACAAAGTCCAGGTCAAATCCGTGGCTGAAATGTTAACACAAAGTTCTCCGTGTCAAATTGTTTCTGTCACCTAACAAAGAGCCCAGATATTTCAAGCAATAGTTTAAAGGAGTTACATATTAAAGTGTACCAGAACAATCAGTCCCTTTTCCCCCACAGTTAAATATTTATGTATTAAAGATATAGACCCTATTGTCCAAACAAAACTAAACAAATGTTTGATGCCTAATCCCAACACAGAATCAAGGAAGACACAGACATTCTTTGTTTGGTTATTAGGTGCTACTAACTTTAATAAGAGTTCATTTAATTTTCACACTGCCCAAAATAGAGAGAATGAATGAAAATAAATTAGTCCCCTTTGAAAATGAGATTCCACAACTATAAATAGCAGCTGCATGCTAATGAGAATAAATATCATTCTTGAAAGCCTTTTAGATCTCTGAGCAAAGGATCTGTACTGAAATGTCAAATTTAAATAACGGCATCATTGCTTTAGAGATAATGTTGGTTCAGAGGGCTTTGTACACTCTGTAGGCAGACAGGAAGAAGCTGTGTGATGGTTAGGCACAGAGAACCTAGGTTCAAGCCACTCTAAAACCCCTAAGTAGATCTGGGACTAGTTAGTTTACCTCTTCTTGGCCCCAAGCTTTCTTACACTTGAGGATTTCTCAATTTAGCCAGGTTTCATTTTACCAGCAGTCCCAACGGTACCTAACATGGGCGTCTCTGAAAGCCAGCTTACCTGCCTCTGAGTCCCTTACTTCTCCCTAAACCAGTAAATGCCCACTTTGTGTTAAAGCTGGCTTCAGTTGCATTTCTGTCACTTATAAATTAAAATGTCCTGACAAATATGAAATATGCATGCAGTACTTCTACCCAGCTATAATCAGAGCAAACTATAATTTCAGACTTTTCATTTAACATTCATAATGTCACAGCATTCATTAACATTTTCTCATATTGCTCTAAATTCTTCCTAACACTTAGAATATGTTAACTATTTCCTGACTTTAGAATTGATTGGTAACAGTTCTGTTTTAAGATTCTGTGTTTAAATGGTTTTCTTTACTCAAGTTAGTATTTGCAAAAGGCAAACCTCTTAATAGACTACTTCACAACACTCGAGGGAGATTCTCTCCCCCCCGCCCAATGTTGGCATACAACTCCTACTGGGTAATATTAACCTGGAATTTACTCGCCTACCTGGGAAGTCAGAGAGGCCCTTGTAAAAAGACCCAAATCTCTCTCTTCTCCCGTGCCCACTAAAGACATTACTACTACTCAAAGCAAGAAGATCTGCAGAACATTAACAAAAAGTCCATTACCATCCTATAATGAGACAGATAATGAAAGCAAATGTTTTCAAACTTTTATAGTCATTTAACACTGCCACAGTATTTAAGAGTATGATAACTTTTCCAGTGATTCCTTTTTTTGTAATTTCATTATTCCATCATAATTTCCCACTTCCATTTCCTTGCCTTCCAAGCATCATACCCAACTCACTATAATCGAGTTCCCACAAACAGCTGACTGAAATAAACATCTCTAAACCATCCGTAACCTCTAAACAATCACCACTATCTGCGCCATCCATGCACAGCGCTTAAATCTTTGTTCCACCTCCTGGGTTTCCTGGCTCCATGGCATTCTTTAGTTTCTGGGTGTTTTTCTCAGTTTTTTGCTGTCTCTTGATTTTCGACAAACAAAAATATTCATTTTTCCCCAAAATTTAATCAAACCCGGGCTTTTCTCAATCACACTTTTTATTTCAACCCACTCCCTCCCATCTCTTCAATCATTAACTTCAAACAGGTAACTTCCAAATCTACACTTCCAGTTCTGGCCTCTGCTTTTGAGTTCCATTCCCCACAGCCCAAATGCCTCCTGTACCTAACTGCCACGACTGCCATCTATTTCTATCACTAGGACATCGCCTGTGCTCCTTAGTCATTCACCAAATTACTTTTCTCACATGCCAGGCACAGTGGGTGAAGCAAATGACACACTGACATGGTTCTGCCTCCCAGCATTATGACAACGTGCAGGCAGGCAGATGAGATGCAACAATCACAGCTGGGAAGTGTCATTAAGTAAATGAAGGGTGGTGTGATCAACGCGGGCTTTCTTTGGAGGCATCTAAGCCAGGCGTGAAAGTTCAGAGGGCCACTACACAGTGAGGAGTGCAGATACTGGTAAAAACGCACCCAGATGATGACAGATTTTAAGCAGCAGTGTTAACATTTAATTCCTAATCTAAAAAAAAATCCCTTTTGGGGGCAAAACAAATAAAAGACTACTTCAGAAGTTATGCAGTAACCTGAGTGTGAGCCCAGAGAAACTTAGACAAAGGTACAGAACAAGGGCCTCCCTAGTAGCACATGGGTTAAGTCTCAGTGCTATCAAGCCATCACCAGCCACTGCAGCGGGAGATCAACCCCAGCCAGGGAGCTGACCCACATGGCACAGCAGACACCTTCTGTCTTGCCTATTGTGCTCCTCTTTTTTAGTAGTTCTGCCTGTTCTGCTCCCCGTACTGTCTCTAATGAATCCTCTCACCGCCCCCGCCCCTGCAACTGACTCTTATATGCACAAATAAAGAAAAATAAATCTTTTTTTTTAAAAGACATGGAAACAACCCAAATGCCCCAAAATGGATGACTGGATTAAAAAGATGTGGTACAATATACACAATGGAATATTACTTAGCAACCAAAAAAAAAGAAACACATGTCTTTTGCAGCAACTTGGATGGAGCTGGAAAAGATCATGCTTAGTGAAATAAGACAGAAAGAAAAGAAAAATACCGGATGATTTCTCTCATAGCAGGAATATAACGGAACAGGCAAGGAAATAATGATAATGATGAACAGCTATATACCAGAGACATTTTGTGGGGGTGGAGTGGGGAATGGGATCAAAAACAGTGGGGGGAGAGAAATGCACTGGACTATGGTGATGGCACATGGGTGATTTGGTGATGGGAAAAGGGATTGCAACTGAGATGGAAAAATGCACAAAAAATATGTAAAAATAAACTATTATAAAATTTTTTTTAAAAAGTGCAGGAAAATAGAAACAATGGCTTCATACCTAACCACCCTCCCTTAAATCCAAGCTTCTGTCATGGAGACTGCCACTAGATTAGATCCAGACATCCCTGGTTCAGAACTCTTGGCAGTTTTCTGTTATATATAGAAGGAACATCATATTTAAATCCTGTCATAAGAGAAACCAAGTCTATGTTACCATCCATTTTCCCACTGCACTTCTCAGACTAAGGTTCCCATTTCAGAATACGGCCTACACTCTGTCAACTCTGCCTTTGCCCAGACTTTCCCCCAGTCTCTCCACCACCTCATTCTTTTCCTTTCCTCCCCATCTCAAATCCTACCAAACCATCAAGCTCCAGCTAAGCTCCACTACTAACAGACAGGTAAGAGTTTTAAAGTGATCAATTTATCATTATCAGCTACTGCTTACTAGCCAATTGGCCATTCAAAGGGACCATCGTGTACAGGAATGAGAAAATAAGACAAATGCTGATGAAGTTAGAAAAGGAATCAGCTAGATCGTATGTACTGCCTAGTTGATAAAATTTTAAAAGTCAAAGAATAAAAGGACCAATTTCTATTACGAAGCTCTAAAGTACCAAGTTTAGAGAATTATCAATGTAACATGTATGTCAATAGGACAGACTGTCCACTCCTGCAGTACTGTATATCCCTAAACAAACAACGCTGGGAGCAAATTCATAAGGCAGAAATCCGTGACTACTTAGAAAATACTGCTTGAAAGTCTTTCCACATATTGAAAGAGAACTAAGATATTCTAAAGTTGGGGATATAATCTCAAACACTAAGTGGGCTATTTCAGAGCAGGATTGGGGAACCATGGACCATTGACCAAAACAGTCCACCATCTATTTTTAGACAGAATGATTTTTATAATTTTAAATAATGGGGGGGAAATTCAAAATATGATTACTATTTCATGGCACATGAAAATGATATGAAATACAAATTTCAGGTTCTACAAATAAAGTTTACTGGGACACTGCCACATTCAGTCACTTATGCATTGTTATGGCTGCTATAGTGCTACAATGGCAGAGCTGAGTAGCTGGGTCATGTGGCTCATAAAGCGAACATAACATTTACTACCTGTTAATGTTAATTTTCACAGGAAAAAAACAATGCCAATGTGCCAGATAGAAAGAAATGACCACACACGAACTACTATTCCATGAAACTTGCCATTTTTGTGAGAAAAGGTATCAAGTCAGAGATTAAGAAATACAAAGCTATCCCTGTGATTATTTGGTGGAAATCAAATGAGAGACTTTGGCTTCCAATCATGCTGGAGTAGAGTTATCCTTCTCCCTCAGACAATTAGAACACTTGACGAAATATGTGAAACAACTGTTTTCAGACACAGGACACCTCGCAGCACAGGACTGCAGTATCTGGTGAAGAGAAACAAATAAGGGAAACCAGTAGGCTGCCCTGGCCTTCTGCTGGAGTACACCCAGACTACAGAGCAGATGGGGGATTCCAAGAAGCATACAGATGGCTCCCTGAGCTAAAAAAATAGACGATGGAGATTAGGGCATTTGAAGCAGCTGGAAATTGCAGGACAAAGTTCTGGAGGGGTGAGGGCTTTGCAGAGAAAAAAGTTCCAAAAATATTCACAGGGCCACTGTGTCTTTGCAGAAAGAGCTGTGAATACAATGGTTCCCCAGAGTTCACAGGAAACCTGGAATCCTCAAGTTCCCACTAGCCAAATTAAGGCATTTGGTAGAAACCCCAAAAGGCCACACCTTTGTAGTAATACAAAACTATCCCA